TCCACCCCCCTGCCATGGGCAGGGACACCTCCCACCAGCCCAGGTTGCTCAAAGCCTCATCCAGCCTGGCCTTGAACCCCTCCAGGGATGGGGCATCCACAGCTTCTCTGGGCGACCTGGGCCACTGCCTCACCACCCTCACAGGAAAACAAATTATTCCTAACAGCTAATGTAAATCTACTTTATTTCAGGTTGAAATGGTTACCCCTTGTCCTATCACTGCACTCCCTAATACAGAGACACTACATTGCCTGATGAAATGCTAAAGGCCTTTTATTTTTTTGACAGCAGGGCGAATCCATCTAGTTCACACTGAAAAATAAGACATCTCCTTTCAGCAAGAGTCAAGTCTTGTTACTTACTCCTGTTTTTCTCAAAGGGCAGGGCCCCTTTGGGCTTCAAGAAACTTGTACACCCTGTTATGGCAATACTGGGTGTGTTTTTAAAATGAGTCAGCTCTTCTGAGATAAAACTTGCATGGCTGACCTCACTTTGATAATGAATTACCTACTCCTAATGGAAAGTGCGGTAAACAATCCGAACGGTCTCATTCAAAGCTGTCTGTTCAGTACTAGGAAATGACATTATTACAGGTTAACTGCAGATAGGGGTGTCTGTGTTCTTGTATCTCTTCAAGTGCTTTCCCTTCAGCCTTTCAGCTTCCTGCCCTTGTCTGCAGCTGAACTGGATGGCTGCTCTCTGTGAGAGTGGCACCAGCAGGAACAAAGCCCTTTCAAGTGCCACCCTGTTGGAGGCAGGTGTTTCCTGCTTGCCTTACCATGGCAATGATCAAAACAGTGACTAAAAGCTGGCTTAAAAGTTAGCGGGTGCAACAAAGCTCAGCAGGAGGAGAAAGGGATTTTAAGTATCTGAGAGAACATTTAACAGGCTGAGTTAGAAAGGTCTTAGGCTTCTCTTGGTGGCATTTCTGTTCAGTGGGCACTTCTGAACACCACACCTCATCAGCCATGATTCCAGAAAATGTGCGAGGGTTTGATGGGCAGGACACGAGAGAACCTGGGAGAGGGAGATAGGGGCAGGAAGGTTATTTTTCCTTGCAGCTCGTTAACACTCTTGACAGCTTCAAATATCTGAACTTGTTTAAAGATGTAAGAAGTTGATGGCAACTATCAGCAGCTAAGGGGGGAAAGGAATCTTTGGGAGGGGGGAGAAGAAGGGAGGCAAATATTCTCTAGAAAGAGGGGGAAATATGGGACTGTGACATGTAGAAGAATGGACAAGCAGGGTGAATACCAACAGAGGGATTAGCTGTTTGCAATAGAAGTGTAGGAGTAGAAAAAAAACAAAAGTGTAGGAGTGTAGATGTGACAGACAGGAGATGTTGAAAGGACAACATCCTCAAGTCACGGAAGCACCCAAGTGTGCTAAAGTAGTAGTGTTTATTTTAAGGTTTCCTACTGAGTCAGTCTGTTTCCCTCTGGAATTACAGAAATGGAACTGGGCCATGTTATAATCCCTGGGGAATCACCTGGGATTCTTAGGTCTACCCTCAGCATGGACCTGCTACCTGTGGTGAAACGCCTTCATCCCCTCTGGTCACAACACCAAATTCCATTTGGGCGCCTTCATCCCCTCTGGTCACAACACCAAATTCCATTTGGGCGGGAGAGCCTGCATGGGGGCTGTGCTCCTCTGCAGGGGTTGCTGCTGGAGGTTTCCAGCCCGCAGGCTGCCCTTTCACCGCGGCCGCTTTACCCCAGAAGCCAGCTCCTCTGTGGAATGCTGAAATGAGATGGGGAATAACAAAGCCGGGAGCCTTTAATCTACGCTGCAGAGTTCCTGCTGGTCTGCTTGCACTGGAATCGTTCATTTTCCTGCTGGCATGGCTAATTCTCATCCTGGAATCACGTCAGTGTATATCTGCTGGCGTGGCTGTATCTGTTCTGGAGCTGCTGCTTTGTTTTTCTGCTAGCACAGCCCCTGCAGCCGGAAGGTAAATAAATCCCTTGGCCATTAGGACTGAATAAGCGTGGTGTAAGATGCCTGTCTGACCAGCAGGCTCGGTGAGAGACCCTTTTTTGGCAGCACTGCCAGTGCAGCAGCAGCAGGTTCAGGGTCTGCTCCCCCGCGGCTGTGGGGCTCAGCGTGGGTCACAGGCTGATAAGGAACAGGCAAAGCAAAGGAATTCCTGCTCCAATGGCTCGAGTTTGGTGAGTCAGGAGTGAGGAAGTGCCACAGCTCATGCCAAAAAAGATTTTTCAATGCAGTGCGTTCCTGCTGCCTGTGATCCCCTGTACTCGCTGCATATTTCAACATCCTGCATTAATGAGGGAAGTAGATTTAACTGAAAAAATAATCCCTCAAATCAGGCTGCTTCTGCTCCGAAGCTGAAATAGCTACTGAAAACATCCTGTTTTTTTTTCACGAAGCTATACTAGAAGTTGAGAAATAGCCCGTTGAGGATTGTGCAATCTGAGTTCAAAGCTCAGTGACTCAGGGGTAGCAGCAAGCAGGGTGGAGCCGGCTGTAGGTTTTGTCCCAGTGTCTCAAGTCAGAGTGGAGGGGCCTTGAATGTAGTAACAAAGCAACCAGTGAATTGGTGGGGGAGAAGCTGTGAACAGGGAAGGAGAGGAAAAAAAAAAAAAAGTGGGTGGTGTTTGAATAGGCGGGTATTCTGCACTGGGAACACAAAAGAATTGGTTCTTTGTGTGATTCCCTGGGTTGCAAGGCGTTGGGGATGCATGACGGCAAGACAGGCTTCATGTAGGACTGGGCAAGTTCTAGAGATCTGTGCTGGGCTGCCATCGGTGCAAAATGGGACAGAGCCTGGACACAGCTGAGCCAGCAAGGGGGCAGGGGCTCTGGGACAAGGGGGGGGAGCAGGTGCTGTTCCTGCTGTAGTCCTCTCTGGGCATCTACTGATGGAGGCCAGATAAGGAGATGGGCCTTGGCCCAAGGGCTCTTTTCTGCCAAGCCCTCTGCCAGCACCGCCCACAGCAGCCCTGGCTGCAGGATCCCTTATCACCTGCCCCAACGGTTATTAACCTGTTGTGGGCAGTTGTTGGTAGCCGAGCTGGGAGTTCATTAGCCAGTGTAAAACAGATCCTGGCTGTGAGCCACCCGTGTTGTGTCTCCCCTCTGCAGGCAAGCCTCCAGTGGGGTCCAATAAGCAGTTTGGTGAGGTATTGCTGTTCTGGGCTGCCCTGCCGCTCTGCCAGGCTCGCCATGGGCAGGTAAGAGGCGGCACTAATTCACAGTTTGCTGAGCTCGCAAACGCTCTTTGCCCATCATGCTGCCCTAGGTTTGAATTTGAATTTCAGCCTGAGTGCACTATCCGCTCAAATGGTTTGAGTCAGCCCCTGTGCGCACCCACACGAGCTGATGAACGGGTAACACAGCCACCATGTTTCACCCAGCTCACCCCGATTTATCAAGCCACAGCCTTAAAGAAAGTACACATTTTTCTCTTTATTCAGGGAATCACAGTAAGCTACTGAGACATACAGCTGCTTTCCCCAGCATAGTTTCCCAAACATTCACATGCAGTTTTTGAAAACATCAAGTACACTTCAAGAATTTGGAAGATGCACCATCACAAACAAAACCTGCACGAAACATTGGGATTTCTGGAGAGGAGCAGCCCCCTGCAAGAAAAACAGGCAGGAGCGCAATGAGCTGAGCAGGAAGTGAGGGGGCCAGGCAGCGAACGCTCCAGTGCTACACTTTATTCGTGAACTTTCTCAGGAACCTTCTGCAGAAGTAATTCAATATCATCCTGGATCTTTATGGTTTCGAAATGCCGGCTGTAGCGTTTGAAGGGCACACCATCAGGGCCAATGAGGAACTTCTCAAAGTTCCAGGAGATGTCGTTGCGGCAGACTGGCGACCAGATGATATACTGCGGGTTGGTCATCAGCGAGGAGGGGTCGTCATGCGGAAAGGGCAGCGCTTCTTTTAGTAAGGTGAAGAGGGGGTGTGCATTCTTCCCGTTCACCTCGCACTTCTCAAACATGATGAAATTTGGCTTGTACCCATTGCCGGGACGAACATACTGCAGTGACAGCAGGATCTCCTCATTCGTACAATTTTCCTAGGAGGGAAAAAAACCAAAACCACACCACGCAAGGTCTATGTGAGCCCGGCCAGGACGGGGGGGCTGCTCCAGGGCCCCCAGTTCCCCCTCCCACCTTACCTGATGCCCAAACTGGTTGCAAGGGAATCCAAGGACCTGCAGCCCCTGGGACCCATAGCGCTTCTGCAGCTCATTAAACTGCAAGAAGTCGCGAGTGGTGGTGCCTCAGAGCGACGCCACGTTGGCC